TCATGGAAGAAAAACTAATTGAGGCCTGTTAAATGCTAAGACACTATCTGATTTAAATCCTTGTGTCACAAACTGCTGAGGATGATGAAAATATTCGGAGAAATATTAACTTTTTTTTTTTTTTTCTGTTTTGCTTTGTTTTAATTTTTCTTTGACATCTCCTAGTGACCACTGCCACACATATGCAGAAATTCTGACTGACCATACACAGCTATTCTAATGTAGTACCAATAGGCTGAATTCCAATGGAAGAATTAAGTACTTTCTGGTTAGTTCCAGCAAGGTCTTAGCTTTGGTACCTGTTCACTTGAAACATGAATTGGATTCCTTTCCTTATCGGTAAGGAATGCTTCAGAGATTATTCTAAACAAAACAAAACAAAAAAACAAATAATAATGATTATAATAATAATTAAAAACAAAACAAAACAAAACAAAAAAAACATATGGAACAAAGACCCAGTTAACAGTGGTAATCAGGGGAAAAAAAAAATTATGTACAGAGCTATGTCTGATTTCCCTGTTGTCCTCCAGATCTTGTCTACCTGATTCAGATGGGGTTGCACATAGACATGGCTGTATTTTTTCCATTGACCACACATGTTTTTAAGACAACTTATGGTCCTGTTGTTGCATACAGAGTGTCCATTGATATCATCTGGATTGATGCCTGAGTTTGTTCAAAAAACTGAGCTTGTTTAGTGCAGTGAACTTACTAAAATATAATTTCATTTAACCTTTACTGAAAAAGGATTACTTGGGAAAAAAATGAATACAGGATTTTAAATAGCCATTTGTGATTGTACTTGTTTGTGATTGTAAGAATACAATTCATTACATACCTTGAGCATATTATTGACATCAAGATCATATCTTTTGTTTAGAGCTTTTGAAACTTCAGCAAACTTGGAAAACAGACTTTTCTACACAAATACAAAATTATACAGTTTTATATACTGTAAGGATAATTATAATTTGGAGGAAGTATTTTATTTAAAATAGCTGCTTTCTAAACTCAGATGATGCACAAAAAGAGGTTTTTTGTTTTTGTTTTGTTTTTGTTTTTGTTTTTTTTTTCCAGAGGTAAACAAAACCTTAATATTTTATTTAATGATTTAATTAATATAAAGGAGTAATCCTAAATAATAGTATATGTTGACAAAACTCATAAAAGTGAGAAATAGCAACATTTTTGATATCGTGTTTAACTACAGTATTCTGATATATGGAGTAATAACTCATGTCAAGAAGATGGTTGATGTTAATAAAGAAGGGGAAGATGTGGGAGTGTGGCCATGGGGGTCGACAAGCCCCATGGTTGGTGATAACATCAGACTCTTAATGATGAGGCCATCAGGAATGTAAAGAGTTTAGAGGGAACACAAAAGGGCGATTCAGGAGATGCCATGCAGTCTTGGGTTGGTTGTTCTCCAGTCGTCAAGGCATGGAGCCTGCGCGTTTGCTGGTTGGAACCATTAAAATTTGTTGATAATCATATTATTAGTGTGGTTTCAAGGGTTAACGAAACACAGGCAAAGACAGCCTCCTGTGGGTTGGTGTCAATCATGTTTTGTTGCTTTCGGGAACCTTGTGGAGGGCAGAGCATGTGCAGAAGAAGAGGGAGGCAGTCGAAGCCGCCCCTACGGTCTGGGCGGGATCCAGGAACAAATGGTTGCTAGCAGTGACGGGGGGAACCCTGAGCCTTCATCCCCACAACCCCCAACGACCACCACCAAGAGAATTATGATACGAAGTGGGGATAGGTTATACATACGTATAGGCGTACTCGGGTTTCTTACGAATACATAAAAGCAATGCTCTATATATATTTAGGAAGTTCGACAGTTGGGTGTGCATGTTGGTAGAGCATGGACTCTCCACGCACCCAGCGCTGTTTACTTGCCTTTTATAAATATTACTAAATTCAGATGGAGTTGTATCTTCATTCATAACAGTATGTTGTAAGTAAACAGGATGAAAATATTTTATTTAATGGAAAACAGTTTTAGTACAAATAACACTTCTACCTTACTGAGATAAAAGGATTAAACAAAATTAATAGAATTATCATGGTTGGTACCTACAGGGAGGTCCACTGAAATGTATCCTCCTAATCCCCTTATCAGTGTTGGGACAAATAACTGGAATATCTGTTCCTGCGAAGGCTGTGGCTTGTCCGGGGTTTGTGTTTTATTGACTTGCACACCAATTCAGATGTCGAAGATGAGTGTGAAAGCTGGTTCCTAATTGAAGCAGACTGGCAGAGGCTAAGAGCAGTGGTCCCTATTACAATGCCCAGTGCTGTTATCTGTTGGGTATGGCTGAATGAGGCACATCAGCATACCACAATAAAAGCTGTAGCTTGTGTTCCTGGAGTCATGGCATATTGTTTCATACTCCAAAGAACAGGTTTCTCAAGTTAAAAAGATACATACCAATCTTTCATCAAGTTTAGAATCAGCATTCATGGCTGGGCTGTCCCACCAGGAACCTGACTGTGCCACAGTCAGAGAAAGATTGTTTTATCAGTGGAAGTCCTTTGTGCTCCTGATAAAGTCCTGTGACAATGAGCCAATGCTCATTTCAGTGCACATCATTCTGAGCTCACTGATGCTCAGAAAAGTCTTGAAAAGACTTCCACTTCAATTTTATGGAGAGTGGTGTGTAGACCACCCATGTATTCATAATATTTTAGAGGTTTTAATATATTTTTCCATTCGTTCAACTTACTGCATTTGGTTCCTTAAGATAATGCAGCTGTAAAATGCAGTGTCTTCATGTAAGTAAAATACACTTTGACTGGTTTATCATGCCTTTTAAGCATGACACTAATCTATCCGTAATTGTCATTAAATACAATTAAATATAGGGAAATAAGAAGCTGTTCAAAATGACCCACATATTTTTAAGTTTTAAAGTAAGTAAACTTAAAATAAGTAACTTACTTAGGTAAATTTTATAGTAATCCTTGTTTTGGAAACATTTAATTTATTTTTTTTCCCCTCTCAAAATGACATAGGCACTCTGCACTTAAGTTACAGTACAGAGTAGTCCTTACATTCTTTTTACCATTGATACATTTTACTTTTGCAGCTTGTTATTTTCTATGACTATTTGAAAGAAACAAGGCACAAAATGATATTTATCATCACTGATGTCTTCATGGCATTCTGAGAACAAAATACATTATATTTGTTGCAGGCTACTTAAAAGTAAAAGGAAAACCCAGCACATAATTTGGTGTGATCATTTGCTTTTTGTTTTCCTTTGATTTTCTAAAATGTAAATTCAAATTAACAGGCTGGATGGTATGGATGATAGTGATTTATTTTATCATTATTGATCAGAATGAGACAACTAGAAGGAGTTTAGGGTACATTGCATAATATCTGTAAAAGAAATAAAATGCAAATCACTCAGTAAAGGAGAAAATCCAGTAGAAACAAACAAACAAAAACAAATAAATTCTTCTTCCACGGTACTATAGGCACCATCAATTGACAAAATGTAGTCAGTGGGCAATAAGCGAAATGGCTTTTCATCATCAGTTTCACCACTTGCTACAAATTTGTATAGGTTAGTAGTGTTTGAGATTTGTTGTTTCTTCATATTTAAAGCAGATTACATGTTTTATAAACATTTGTTAAATTAATCTTTCTGTACAGAGGAGTAATGCAGAAAAAAATATCCATACTGTACTTGAGGTTACTAATTTAAAGTGTTTCATTGCATGTGTTTTGGAAAAGCTGGTATTTTTGTCACTACTTGTAATACACTTTACCTTGTTACACACTTTGATATTCAGTTTCTTTTCTTTCCTCTCCTTCTACCCTCATTTTCTCCTCTTCTCTTTTCTAGTCTTCTTGTCTACTTTGCCAAACATATTAGTTTGTAAATGTTAGAGAGCAGGTAAAGAAAAACAAACATACTTCATCTATATAAAACAAAGAGGCAGTACAATAGGCTTTCTTGTTGTTTGGCTGATGTCATGAAAACAGAAACTAACATGATCAAAAGTATCAGCCACTGAAGTATCTGTAAAGAGCTAGCTGGGTGTCATCTAGATCTTTAACTCCACTAACAGAATGAACTAAACTTTAACTTGCATCAAACCTTACATCCATTATGTAAGAACATAAACAATTTAACAAATATACTCCAGAATAAAAATAAAGTAATAGTGAAAATTGCTTTGCATGGCCATATACCAAAATTTGGTCTTAGTGTTGGGTTTGTTACTATTAAACCTAGGTCTGCCTAGTTTTAATAAATAGTCAATACTATTTTATTAATGGAAATCAGATAAAGCATCTGATTAATGGAAATCAGATAAAACATCACTTTTAAGATAAGTAGTTCTGAAATAGTGAAAAGGTGTTTTTGTAGGAAATTATGTGGAGGTAGACTGTTTCTGGATTTTTATTTTCTGTTCTTTTCACGTAGATGCCAAATAGAAACACCAACAGAAATGAAACCTGTTTGGATAATCAGCTGTTCTTGTGATTTTTGCAACTGGAATCACAGTAATTACCATATCAACTACACATGATTTCACAAATAGGGCTGTTAAATAGTGGATCAGCTCCTTGAAAACAAACTTTCTTTCAGATATTCTAATAACAAAAAACAGGAAATAAAAGATCTGCTTTCTCAGCAAAAGTGACTAAAATTCTTTTCAGCTTTTTCTGTGGTGTGTCAATCGGTCTTTAAGAAGTTGTTAATATTTTATGTATTATAAAGCAACTGCTGATTGCTAAAGGAACAGAATGATACATTCACCTTTGTATATGGTAGCTAATTCAGCTTATATTCCTTAGCTAATTAAATACCAGCTCTTAAGGTGAGAAATATCTTATTCACCAACTGCTTTACTGGAAAGTACAAGACTGTGTGAGAACTTTTTCAAGTACATTATAATATTAATGCTGGAAACTCAGGCCTTGTATAGTGAGAGTAATTTAATTTATTTTTTTTTAAGTTTTTATTTTTTTTTCTTTATAGCATGGAACAGTGTCTTAAAGACCTGCAATCAGAAGTAAATGAAATATGTACTGATGAAATACTGCAAAGCACAAATGACTGCCTTCAGTGGCTAAACAACTGCAATTTTATTTCTCTCAAACCTTCATCTACACCACACGGAGAACTGATGGAGTTCCTCAGGACCCTGGTAAAAAATTGTTTACTATGAAGTTTAATGTTTGGGAAAGTTTATTATATGATGCTTATGGTTTGTTTGTTTGTTTGTTTGTTTTCTTTCCTGTTAGCTTTATTTCAGTCTTCACTATATAGTCCAGAAAACTTAACATAAAGCTTAGTCCTGATTTTATGTCTGCATCAGGGCTTTATGCTTCCTTTTGATCATGTCCTAACTAGACAAACTTGGATCTAAAAAAATTTGCTGGTACTTCCACATGTTCAGCATCACCAATACTGTTTTATAAACATTTGAAGGTGAAAACATATGAAGTTACTGTCTACACACAGTCTGTTAATTTTAATTCTTTCTCTTCACTTGTATCAGTATGAATATAACCCATCTAATACAGATTGTTGTGCTTTATGTGTTGTTTAGGCATTAACTTCATATCTACTTTTTCCTAAATCAGCATGTGGGAGCTACATCCATTTTTCTTGCAAGTTGTGTAACTGGACCTAACCAGAAGTCATGTTTCACTTTGGTGAAAAAAGATGTGATTTTTACCCCAAATTTTCCTGAAGAGTCAGTGTGAATAAATACATGGAAGTGGAATTCTGGAAAATTGAATTGTCTAAATAAATGAAGGATAATACCTCAATAAATGGCAGCCTTCAACTTTGTATAGAAACTACATAAATGCTTGTTTATATGACATACATATATACGAGTATCAACACAAATAAATATAGACTTTGTCCAGTGAATTATTCTGGGTTACTTCTTAGTCATGATTTTGTCATTGGATGTGAACATCTTTAGGATAAGATATCTCATATTGGCAGAAGAAACCTGGTTACAAGAAGTGGAGATTTTGGAGATTTTTCTCATATGGAACTTCTGGCCAAAGCTCAAGGTTTTTTTTTGTTTGTTTGTTTGTTTTTTTCCGGTTGGTTTTGTTTTTGTTTTTGATTCATAAACCTGGTTGTTGATCTTTCAGTCACACTTGAATCCACTGAATTACATGACTGATAGCCCTGCTTAATTGAAGATATGTCAAATTATGAAGTCGTTTCTAGGAATACCAGGTCTTTAATGTTCATGTGCTGAGGAAGTGATTTAATCCCTTTCTTACATGGGTGATCAGTATGCGTGTTGCTGTTAATAATCATGCTGCTCAAGGATGTCAGACTGATACTTGTCAGACTTGATCTAGACAAAATGGGAGAATCCCAGAAAATACGGAATTACGAGTTGTTTGATACTTCTCTTAGTCCAGTTATATCCTTCCTTAACACCCTCAGAAGAGGGCATGGCAATGATGTCTTAGTTACCCGTGTGCGTTGCCTGTGCTCATCCTTCTCCCGGGTCACTTTAAGCCATATACCTGAACACCAGGTGGCGGCATTTGTTTGGCAAACTCCAAAATATCCCCATCTCTGGAACACTTTGGATGTATCGTATGCAAAACGTGCTTTCTAGCTCTCAGCTTCCCAAGAGTCTACAGACTTCATGACAGTCTGGCTGTGGGCTGTTAAACCTTGGGAGCAGCTCTTTGGGAGGCTGCTAAACAGACAGTTTAGAGGGGTGAGAAGCCTCAAAACCTTAACGCTGCACAGCTTATCGGGAGAACGAACATCTGTGGAGCTTGGGAACTGGGACAAAACTGTTTTCAGGCTCATGGCTTCTCAGATAAGCCAGCCTATTGCCTTGATGAGACTACAGATGAAATGTGCATCTGCACTAGCACCATCTGTCCATCTGTAGGAAGTTATACTCATCCTTAGCTCCATAAACACATGTGCATTAAACTGTTTTCAGTTGTATTCAGCATTAATGAGATTACCACAGCCTGACCTTTCTTAACTGTGTATTTCCATCCATTGAATTAATTACTCAGTTGACTTAATTAAAAGCTTACAAATGACAAGGTAAATATCATACAATATATCTTCAATAAAATTAACCTTCTTTCCACCTCAGGACAGTATCCCTATTTGTTACTATACCTCATTATGTGTGTTTATTTTGTTAGGTATTCCACTTATCTCTTAAGCTTCTGGAACAAATTTAAAATAAATAAATAAATAAATAATGCAATGTGGTATTCTCAAGCATTTATAAACTCTCATGGAAATACTGAGAGGTTCTTCATGAACCCTAAAAGACTTCAGTTACGTGAAATCTCATCATTCTGTGTACTAGTCTGTAGTTTTAAATACTTCATAGCTGAATCTGTATACGGACACATCTTCATTAAATTGCCTACCACCTAAACTAATGGCAAATCTCTTTCAAGAAAACGTTAACAATACTGGATGTAGTCTATACCAGATAGTAGTCTAGTTGATAGAATGCAAGTCTTTTTTTTGTGTACTTTTATCACTGACTTTCTGTACTCATAAGAGAACTTTTCACACTTCTCTAAAACCTTTAGACACTAATTTGGATCTCTTTCTCTTGAATAGTTTTGTCATCATCTTTTGAAGTATTTCTTAAAGATAAACTTTCAGATAGAAAAGCCTGTGTCAATACAGGCAGCGTTCAAAGACATTTGATTATACTGTGTTTTCAGACCTTCACTGTTCACTTCAGGGACTTTTTCTGAGGAATACTAAGTCTAAGATGGCATCTGCAAATTCCCTTTTTTTTACGTTTTAGTCTAAGTTGCAAAGCAGTTGAAACTATTAAAATTCTTACTGGCTTTCATGAATAAAAATTGTTTTGTTTAACCTTAAAAAACAGCATAGGGATTTGCTTGGAAGACATTTTGGATTCATCATGTAAAGGCATGAGTTACAATCACTGGTTTGACACCTTTTCCTGTTCTGTTTATTTCAGAATATAATCATTGATCATACTTCATTAAAACAAAACAAAACAAAACAAACCTTTAAATTCATAAGTCTATCTGTGGGCACTTGACTTTCCAGCTACTCTAACTATGCTAGCAGCAGTTAGTGACTAGAGTCTCGGTTTACCAGCTCAACACATTGTCTTTGCATCCACAACACCTCATAGAATGCTTTAGTAGACAATAAGATGAAATCAAATCAGCCTTACATATATGCATATTAATTTCCACTATTTAAGATATTAATTGGTTCCACATTTTTCTATTACATTTTCTATTACATGCAGGTTTTTATAGGAAGATAATTTCCTTTATTGTTCTGTCTACAACATATGTTTCCTACTAGTAAGTACAAAATTACATAGGGAGCTCCATGAAATAAAGATGTGAAGTGGAAGAAAAATAACTAGTTAGTCAATTTTTAAGACTTTCCTATATGGAAGGTTATTGTGCTCTCTGTCTTTTGTTCAGAATTACCTACTGTGTTAAAAGTTTTTTATTTTTCATAATGGAATGCTCTAAAATAAAGGGCAGGTAGGTTAAAATGTTGCTTTCTCCCATAATAGTGCAACAGTTTTAGTCGTTAAGAAAAAATACAAGAAGTTCTGATAGTAAAAAAATGCTGTGACTGAAAAGCATGCGAAAAAGTCAAAAATTTGTCAAAAATGTTGTCTTTTTTATATTTCTTAAATTATCTATGGATAAAATATTGCTACAGTAGAAAGAACAAACTTTTTTTTTTTTAATTTCAAAATTATTGAAGTACTACCATACTCAAATAAGACTTATTTCTCTCTCTTCCATAATGAGAAAAGAAATAAAACTGATTATTTCCTGTAAATAGTTTAGTTAGAACTAAATCAGTAGTTCTGAATGTAGAAGGTTTCTGAAAGTTGCCTTACAAGCCTTGCATTATAGGTTGGAGAGACACAAATAAAGGACATGAGAGGAAAGATCTATACTTATGTGGTTTGCCACAACACTTTCTATGTTGGAAGATCTTGGAGAGAACTGATGGGAGGTGAGGGAGCAAGCAAGAGGGTCTCCATATCCTGATTCACTTCAGGCTTGCAAATGTGCAAGCAATTTCTCTTTTTTTTATTTTTTTATTTTTTTTATTTTTTTTGTGACTGTGATGGCAAAATCTGTACTTGTCTCTCATGCAGCTGGAAGACTGAGAGTGGGTCTGTTCAATACAACTTTGATGAGCCTAGGGATGCAGGCAAAGCCAACCTGCAGCAGGAAGAATGTGGAGGGTGTGGGAAATGGGTTTATAACGGGCAAGATTTTTACTCCAAGACAGGAAATAGATTTAGGAATCCACTGACCAAGGGGCTTCTGGGCCTGCCTTCTACTAATATATTGGACGCCACTTCTTTATCCAAGTGATTCCTCAAACATATCAAAGAAAGCTGCAGAGTGCTGTTTACATTTATGTCATTGTGAGCCAAGTAGAAGGCATTGAGGTGTGACAAGAACCTTTTATTTGCTGGTTGGCATCTTGGATTTGAAGGAGTTCTAAGATCAGAGATCCTGTCCATGAAACAATAGGGAGGCTTTTCAGATGCAGTGAAGTCTGCACATGTATCCAAGTGGCTTCATGGGTATTCTGTTAACTGTCTTCCTTCTACCTCGATCTACGTAGCTGAGATGTATTTTGAGGCTCCCATACTGTTAATGTATCAGTCTGCACCTGGATTTGACAGGATACGCAGCTTCTTACTCTTTTGCCCTATTTGATCTAAGCCCATTGTTCAATTCTTAAGTTTTTATTTATAGTTCAAGGCAGTTCTGGGCAGATTATTTAATGAATAGAATAGCCTTTCTCACAGTTGCCTGCTGAACCAGAACACAGAGGGCAACAGAGTTTTATTTTATAAATCCCATCTTGGTTTTATGAGCAAAACCTCTTATTATCCTTGTAAGTGTTAATTTCATACAATTTTCTTTCCAAGATGTTTGTGTGGACCTGAACAAACAGTATCATCTGCCAAGGCTTATCTAATGAGCTATGTTTTTTCTAGGCTTTCCTTTGAATTGTGGGATAGGACTGATTGACAAAATGGATTGAGGATGTAAGAAAGATGGGAAGAAGAATGTAAATTCACTGGAGTAGGTAGACAAAGAGATGTATGGGAGCATAAATTCATTGGAAAACAGCCTTTGTTATTTCTGTTTTTTATAGAGCAATTTGTTTCATTTTCTCATTTGCTGGTAAGATAATTAGCATTGGAAATAATTGGTACTCTAGCACAAAGCTGTTAATTTTATTAACCAAAGTTAACAAAACATTTCTAAAATACTGTCTGATTTACTTTTGTTAGCAAAGCTTGCTGAAAAATGAGCAAAATCAAGAAGAAATGATACTTCACTTCCTTCTGGATCTCTCTAGTCAGTGTGGTGTCTCATTTCCCTGTACTCCAAGCGGGACGTCTTTTGAGTTTACATCTTCCATTCATGCCATTGAAGATGATTCAACTATGGACATGAAATCTCTCTGGGATGATGTGAGATTGCACCTTCGACGATTTTTAGTAAATAGACTGCAAAGTCAAGAAGAAACAAATAGTAATGCTTTGCAACAACAAATACAGTTTAAAACTCAGTGCATACAGCAACTTTTGTTTCTTTACCCTGAATCAGAAGTCCTAACGAGGTACCAAAACATGCAGAATAAACTGGTTAGTGATCTTCTACAGAACTGTATTTTGTCTAGCTGTGGTGAAACAAATTTTGATAAAGTTGTTCATGGCTACCAAAGTTCAATACCCACACTGTGCACAATGATAAAAGAAGATTTCTATGTACTAAGTGGAACTATTGATCCTTCTTCATCATTGAAGTTTATTAATGAAACTTATCTGGATACCATCACTGAAGAAATAACAGTTCTTCTTGAAAGACTTTGCGAGCTGCAGTTCAAAGAAAATGCTCTGCATATAGTTAAGGCAAACAAGATATCAAAGAAGCATAGAGGAACAGTTCATGCTGTGGGTTAGTAGACTTATTTTATGTTCATTGTAGTTAGATATTATTTTAATTATATGACCTTTTTTTTTTTTCCAATACACCTGGTTATTTCCTCTGAAGAGAGAGGCCAAAGGTTATTAATTACAGGTTTATGTTTTAAATGCATTATTGCAATTGAGTTATAGACTATGTCAGAACTGTGGTAAAAAATGGTTTTAAAGTAATGGAAAATTTCTTATGTTTATATAGAAATCCCTTTATGCTTCACTGTATAACATTGTCATGTCTTAATCTTTTTTCTTTTTTTAATTCATCTTATTTCAACTACTGAAATATACAACGAAATAAGAACTATTTAATCCAGATTTTAAAAAAACAAAGGGTCTTCAAGCTCCTCAGTCTTTTCCCTACACATTTTATTTTGATTGCTAGAAGTTTTCTGACCATGAAGTAGACAAATTCATACACTAGAGGTGATGCAAAAAGATTACTATGCAGATCTTAGTTCTCAACAAACAAACAAACAAAAAAACATTTAGAGTTTCTATTCTTGTGAATATGCTGTTAGTTATAGTTAATTCTACCTGGTCATTTCTTCAGTAAATTAATCTGTTATCAATGTATAACATCTACCCTTTTTTCTTTTTTACTTTTTTCCAATTGGCGATTGACAAGCCAATCTGCAAAGGGGGGAATCAAAGCTTTGCAAAAAAAGTGACACAGCATGGAAACTTTCATAACATAATTGTATATAGGTAAATTAACGTAATTTATTGCCTACTAATGACAGACCAGAGCAGTGAGAACTAAAAGCAAACTAAAACACCTGCAGGGGCTGCCCACAGGCAGCAGCTCTTCAGGACCTGCTCCCACACAGCTCTGTCCCGTGGGGTCCATCCATCCCCCAGGAGCAAACTGCTCCAGCACGGGTCCCCCACGGGTGGGGGCAGCTCCCCCCAGACCCCCTGCTCCTGCGGGGGCTCCTCTCCATGGCTGCAGCTCCGGCCTGGGGCCTGCTCCTGCGGGGGCTCTCCACAGGCTGCAGCCTCCTCCAGGCCACATCCACCTGCTCCAGCGGGGGCTCCTCCACCCATGGGGGGGCTGCAGCGTGGAGATCTGCTCCATGGGGGACCCATGGGCTGCAGGGGGACAGCCTGCTCCACCAGGGGCCTCTCCCTGCACAGCCCGCAGGGGAACTGCTGCTGCCTGCCTGCAGCACCTCCTGCCCTCCTGCTGCACTCACCTGGGGGCTGCAGGGCTGGCTCTCACCCCTCTCTCCCAGCTGCTGTAGCACAGCAGTTTTTTTCCCCATCTTCAATCTGCTCTCTGAGGCCCAAGCAGCATCGCTCACAGCCCAGCTCTGGCCAGCAGCAGGTCCCTTGTGGAGCAGCTGGAGCTGGCTCCTCTCTGCCATGGGGCAGCTGCTGGGCTCTGCTCACAGAGGCCACCCTGCAGCCCCTCTGCTACCAAAACATTGCTGTGGAGACCCAACACAGGAAGGTGATGATCTGTCAGGTCTGCTCAGAAGAAAATTATACTCTTGTGAGTTTTAAAATCAATCTGCATGCTAATCTAAGTCAACTAGAAATTCCACTGGAAGAAATGCGGAAATAACTTATCAACAGGAACTGAAATATGGAGGAACACATGAAAGAAAAAGAAGAGGTAATCAGAGAAATAATGTGAAAAGATGACAAGTTCAAGATAAAGCTGGTGTAATTAATGGGATGGAGTGTTGGTGGGGAACAAGAAGTAGTGTCAGTGTGAATCTGAGTTATGCAATAAATGAGTAGAAGAGTATCTTTGAGCTATATGTGGGGTTACGAGTCATGAGAGGGTTTCACTGCCAAAAAAATGACAGGTAGGTAACTAGTGATGGGAGAGTGATTGGGGTTCTTTATTAGGGATTATAGTGATAGGACACGGAGTAATGGCTTTAAACTGAAAAAGGGTAGATTTAGATTTTAGATTTAGATTTTAGATATTAGGAAGAATGTCTCTACTCTGCGGTTTCTCATGCTGCCCTGTCAGCCATCAGGCTGGGAGGACACAGCCAGAACAGCTGACCCCAGCAATGGTCCATACCATATGACATCGTGCTCAGCAAGAAAAGCTGAGGGAAATAATTCTGTGATTCTGTGATGGCTAGAGTCATGGCATTTGTCTGTCCAAGTCCCCATTAGGCATGATGAGTCTTGCTTGCCTGGAAATGGCTGAACATCTGCCTGTCAATAGGATGGAGGGAACAAATTCCTTCTGCTTTACTTGTGTGCACAGCTTTCGCTTTACCTATTAAGCTGTCTTTTTCTCAACCCACCAGTTTTCTCACTTTGGACCCTCTGATTCTCACCCCCATCCTGCTGTGCAGAGGGAGGGAACAGCAGCTCTGTGGGGCTCAGTTGCTCACCAGGGTTAATCACAGTACAGCTATAAAATGTGTTTAGAAGTATTGTTTCTTAATATCAGTTAATATTCAAAATGTCTTCTTAGTGGCTATCATGTTCATTTCTTCATCTGTTGACCATATAGTATTTCCTAGTATCGTACTTCAAGAGGTTGGCATGGAGGAATGCATTGATTCACCTGCAACCTCTCACTAGTTTTCTGCAGAATCAGCCAAACTAGTGACAACAGTTTAGTCAACAGGATAGAGTAAGGGGTCAGAGTTAGGAAGTTATACAGGATTTTTATTTTTATTTTTAATCTCATTTAATTTTCAAGCCATGTCTATTATGTTGTAATTATTAACGAAATGAAGTAAAAATTATACTTGTAAAATTACAGAAGCAATTGTTATTAAGTAGGTAATTGAATGTGAGCTCATATGTGAAGAGGCTTTTCTAATAAGAGACTCTCTTCCAAATGTTTGTCTGTACCAGATTTGTAGTATGCTAACTCAGAAAAAGGCATTTTCCCCTTGGAATTAAAGTGTTCGCTAGTCTGTTTATATTGAAAGAAATATTTTGGAAAAAATCTATAGAGTAACTGTTTTGTGAGGTTTATAACTGTAGACAAGTTATTATTGTCAAATGGCTTTTCCTGCTTCCAACTCTTATTAAATACTGATTAGGTCCAGGACACCTTTGCTGGCCTCACACAGTCAAGAGTGGAAGGCTGAGATTATACATAACTTAAGTTAAAAGACAACTTCTAATATGTTGGCTTGATAGTGATACCCAGTTTGTTGAGTATCAAAAAATAAAACTAAAAAAATAGCAAAGCCAAACATACTGGAGCATTGAATGGAAGGGGAGAAGGGGAAGGATATTTGTTTTTGTTTTCCTAGCTGAAAGAAAGCTCTACCAATGTGTTTCTTATTTTTTGATGCATGTTGCCTCTGCCCTCTGGGAACCACCAAACCAGCACATTTCAAAACAGCAGAATAATTTAATCCAGAGTATTCAATGGGGACTGTTATCCCACAGGTGAAAAAAAACACCTTGTGTTTACTTAGTCCCGTCCCCCTCCCGGGGAATTTTATTTTATTTTTTTCCTAAAAACTACTGTAATTGATCCTCCTGTATAGGAGAGAAAATAAAATAACAGGAAAAAAAAAAAAAAAGAAGGAAAAAAAAAAAGAACCTCAGAAAACTATATAGATGACCTACTTCTGTCAGTAATATAAAGACAGTCTATAACAGTCTTTAACAGAGTTATAAATCTTCACAATTTTTCATGTATAACAATCTATTTAGGAAGTAAGGAATTAATGCTTTTTCTTTCATGTTCCATTAGAAGAGTTATTTGTTAACTACTGTAACAAAATCATGTCTGTTTATCAGGACCGAGGATAAGAATGCTCTGAGAAGTAAGCTTGCAAATTGATATGTTAAAAGAGGCAAATGTTTTGGAACTTATACCTTTGATTGCCAACTGTAGTGGAGGTAGCTCGTGTTATGTTTTAACTTCATCCTGTTACTAGGTAAATCAGTGCCTCTTAATATCTTTAACCATGCAGAATTCAGGCATTCTTAACTGGGCTGCATTAGTAATTGATTTTTATCTAGCATCGGCCCCCCTCGTTGGTGTGTGTACCCTCTCCACAACATCAGTGTTCTGAATTTGGTAAAATAATATCCAAGGAAGGTTCCCTTTATCCTGCCCCCAAATATATATACACACATACATACATACATATATATATATTGTATTTCTATCTTAATAATTGTATGTTTCTTTCAGAAACTTACATACTGTTAAGTATTAGAAAAAAAAAAAAAAAAGTTATGTATTTGTTAACATAATTAGCATGTAATGAATCATCCGGACAGCTGGTTTTTAGCTAATCTCCTGTGATTTTTTGCTTCATTTTCCATTTTGGTTCATTACTTAAAGTAAGTCTGTTAAATGTGGATTGTATTTCTACCTTTTGAACTTCATTGTGTTCCTTTGTTTACAAAAATGTTAAGCTAGTTTAATCAGGCTTTTGTGACCTATCTTAATCCTTCATCTCTTTTTAGATAAAGAAACAGCTACTCTTACAAGTGATAAGACATCAGCCAAAGAAACTTTAAAACTGTGACATTATACACATTTTATGTATTAGTGGAAGGTTTTCTTTGATTTTATTTATATAGGGTTTTTTATTTACATGAAGAGAGAGAAAAAATACTTAATGTGGATTAATTAGCCTACTTTTTAATTTCCTATGATTAAAACTAAATATAGAGCTTTGGGTTTTCTTTTATTTTGATTTGTTCAAATTAATTCACTTATTATTTTAATTTTGTAGTAAACTTGCACTTACCCCTAGGAAATAAATTTTTATACTTAAATAATTAATAACTTTAAAACCTTAAATGAGATTTTTTTAAAAAATGTAAAACAATATGTGGCATGGTTTTCAAAATCGGTATCTGCTTATTTCTATGAAAATATTATTGAAAAATGAAGGTAAACTAAGGTGATGAAGATAGGCTATAAAGTATAAGCTATAAAGTAATTAAATCACTTTCACTGAAGTGTTTTAATATTCATTTTTACCTCAATATTACCAGCATCTTACTTGTGTCCAGCAAGCCTCC